GGGAAAGAGAGAGTACCCTGGGAGCGAGGTTGTACCGTTTATACTCGTCCTCAGGGTCATCTCCGCTTTCGAGATGGCGGGCGGGCGGTTTATAGCGATAGTTTAATTTAGTGATAGTCGGGCGCGAGATGTTTCTCGGTGAAATGATCGACGACCTCCCAGACCAATCAAAGAAAAAAAAAATTACTCGCAAAGATGGCTCGCATGACTCGCATGGTTCGCACCGTGGCTCGCACGGCTCGCTGGCTCGCAGATTTTGCAGACCCCTTCTTAAATGACCCTAGTCAGCCTCTGCTATTTTCAATGCCATCAAAATTATTGATATTGCATGGTGAGGCGAAGTCTTGTACTTGCTTTACTGTAAGTTGTGTTCCTGAAAGTATGTCCCTTTATCTTTAGTAGCTTCACTGTGATTTTTTTTTGCTTTGACATGCTCTGAATAAAACATAAAAGACAAACTCTTGTATGTAAACAAAAACAAAGGTGGACTAGGGCTCTTTAAGGGGAGTTTTAGATGGCTCCAATGCATTGGGAACGAGTGTTAAAAACAAAAAAATTAGAAGCACACCTATTGAGGCTATCTTTGCTGCACCCTGCCTCCCCTGTTCAGTAACCAGTACCCATTTATACATCTGGTCGTGGAGAGGCACTATGAGAGTACAAACACAATGCAATGATCCCCAATAGGAATCCACTCCACCAACCATTGGACCATCGTGCCTCGTCCTTCCTAGGGTTAGAGTGGAGTTTACCCTAACATGACAGTTGTAAGTCTAATAACCTTCTACTGGGGCAACTTGAGTGTGTTGAAACCTTTTTAACATTACATAAATGATAGCACCTTAAGGCGACTTTAAGAGACTTAGGGCGACTTAAGGCGACTTAAGGCGATTTAAGGCAACTTAAGGCGACTTTAGGCGACTTAATGTCCCAGAGTAGGCCTTGCCTTATTCCAATAGTGTTGCTATGGGAACTAAAACAGGCAACTTTATATCTGAATTCAGCCAGAGTGAAGGCCTTGCTTATCACGGCTTTAATATCGCATTCAGTGGAGGTAAATTAAATATCAGATACTGTTTTGAAGCTTGCATTAGTGGTCCACCTTCTTGGTATGGGAAAGGTTGCTCGTCTGCTATAAAACATTCTGGAGTAACATTTGTTTTAAATAACAGGACCGGTGCAGAGACAGCAGGACGAACTACTTCTCATAAATGGCAAGTTTCTGGATTTGAATTTACATTGAACAAAATATAAGTCGCAATGACGTGCTTATTCGGAATGTCTTATTTTTCATTCGAATTTGATGTGCAGACCTATTGTAATCCCTCGTCTGCCCTCTGGATTAATTTTCGTTTTTTTTCCTTTTTTTTTCGTGGAAGAAAGAAGGTAACCAATCACATCCAAATGGCGTTTGATCTGGAGGAAATTATTCGTAACTAACCAAATTGAAGTTTATTGCCTGAGTGTATGGGCTATACTTAATATACGTGCAAGAAAATAAGAAATGAACCGAGAAGATTAGGTATGCGGACGGTGAGTACGTAAAAACAAATACAAGACAAGAATCTCAAATCATGTTCAATTCCATGATGTACTTTAATTAATTCCAGATGCTCAGGGTAACAGTTAAATTAATACTAAACTAGCATTAAATATACATTGAATTTTCGTAGGCCAATTCCGGATTAGAGCGGATTTCTCTAGATTTGCGGCCATCTTAGCTACCCGTTGAATGCTGTCAGTTCTTACCGATGGATGCATTTCCAACTTTCAATCCCAACCTAAAAGTATTCATCAAACATTAAATGAATGGATCTTTCTGATTATCAATACTGAAACAGTTCCAACACCCAACAATGGTTGATCAGCATTTTATTTGCCCTAAAGGTCAGTTATGGAACTCAGAAAAATCAACTAAGAAACTGATCACCCAGATGATATACATGACCCTACACTGATTCTCCGAGCAAGAGAGCCACTGACAATTAACTTCATGGGTCCTTTATGATAAGGCTAGACTTTTTCCTGTTCTCACTGTTCTCATTTGATTCTAAATTTAGTGCTTTACATTTTTTTCCTGGTCAATTTGTGTGTCTAGACACTTTGCTATCGCGGTACCTCTCTCGTGCTCCCTCCTCCTCGGTGTACCGCCTAGCAGACCTGGTACAAATTGCGGAGAGAGCAGTAGCAGAACTTTGAATTGAACGGTTTCAAAACATGGGGGAAGAGTTACTGGGGATGAAGTGGGCTTATAGCAGACGTTTTACTATAAAATCTACTTACCAATCCCTAGAGAAACTAACTTTAAACCAATATGAAGAAATTTGAACATTGAGAAAATGGATTGGTAAAGAAGAGGCAGGTACAAAAGTCGGACCGGATCAACTCGGACTGCCAGTCCAGGTCGGATCAACTCGGATCAACTCGGATCGAGTCGGATCGTCTCGGATTATGAAAAAAAAATTTTTTTAATGAAATTGAAACTTTTACCCATTTGAAGGTTAAAATTCCGGTCAACAATGGGCCAAATTAAGAAAGACTCGCGACGTTTCTCCGTGTCGTGCTGTGTAGTCAAGCCGCCATTTTGTATTCTAAGTGCCAGTTCTTCTCGGACTCGTCTCGTGTTCCTCCATCCATCCATCCGTCGATCTCCGCGATCATGGACTCAGATGAAGGTAAATCTTTCTCGATAAATATGCAACTGTCCACCAAATTGATAGTTTCAGTCATAACCTATTTCTGTTACGCTGCGTGATTTCGCAGAAATTCGCTTTACTTCCGTTTGGCTCCTAATTTGGAGAACAGGAAGTTGATAGATTTAGCTAACAATTAATCAAAACTTGGCCTGCTTGACGACAAGGGATTTCAGTCTAAAATGGTTGACGTTTTATACGAACGAACTTAAAATGATTCTCAAAGATCCTGAAGATAGTTTTAATCAAAATGCGCATCCACAAATGCACAAAATCAAGCATCCACTTCTTCATTACAGTGTGCACAACACTCACCTCGCTCTCTTTGCTTTCTCACACACACAAAAAATATATATATCGCCTGCTGTGAAAAATAAGCGAATATATACATTCTTAATTACTGAAACTATCATTTTGGTGGACGGATGCAAATTCAGTGAGAAAGATGGCCTAGATTTTACCTTCATCTGGGTCCATGATCGTGGAGATCGACGCGGCGGGATCAGGGATGGATGAGGAGTCCGAGAGGAACTGGCACTTAGAATACAAAATGGCGGCTTGACTACACAGCACGACACGGAGAAATGTCGCGAGTCTTTCTTAATTTGGCCCATTGTTGACCGGAATTTTAACCTTCAAATGGGTAAAAGTCTTTTTCATGATCCGAGATGATCCGAGTCGATCCGAGTTGATCCGAGTTGATCCGACCCGGGCTGGCGGTCCGAGTTGATCCGGTCCGGCTTTTGTACCTGCCTCTAAAGAAACGTTACAGGAACGCAAAACGGCCCAGCCTTTAGTCTGTCGATAAAGCGCTGTTAGACGTTAGGGTAAAATTTCTAACTACTTCACATAAGCAGACACTTACGTTCAATTTCAGTTTTCAAAGCACTTATTCTACTAATTAGAATTTGTTTGTTTGAGGATAATCTTGTTTTCAATGTTTGACAAGAGAATTAAGACTAAATCTTCCAATCTCCCTCTTGCAGAAGTAACTGATGAGTGTATGTTAACAACTTGCTTATTTCACGCAGTCTAGACTGAACAAAGGTTTCTTTAGTCTGTCAGAATATCGCAAAACGTTTTTTAAGTCAAGTTTCTAGCGCATCAGGCAAAGGTCGATTTTTGGTGTATTGACAGACAGGAATCTTTGAACCTAACTTGATCAAAAATGTCACTGAAATGGACAGCAAAAATGCAGTAAAACTTAAAAACCAAATACATGTATAAACAATAATTATCACGCATTTTTATCATAAAAATATCTGCCTCACTGGGCCTCGTACTCGGTCAATACATACAAAATTGAGCCCGCGATGAGGGGTCCTTATAAATGCGTGAGACATGCGTAACGGTAGCGTGACTCTGACGAAAACGAAAGGATCTTAGCAGAGAATCGATCATAAGTTTTATCAAAGTTTTATCAAACTCAAACATAAAAGTTCAATCATGTCTCTCGGTGTAGCAAGCGGAGATCTTTGGAGTGCGACAACTAGACGTACAATCAGAGAAAGATGCCAGTTCATGTTTAACAACGAGCTCTTGAGCGATGTCAAATTTGTCGTTCCAGACGCTGAAGGCGGAAGTGGAAGTATGAAGAAGATTCCAGCTCACAAGTTCTTGTTGGCGATCAGTAGCCCAGTATTTTATGCCATGTTTTACAGTGAATTGGCCGAGAAGAAAGACTCAATCGATATCTCTGATTGCGATCATAAAAGCCTGCTGGAGTTGTTTCGCTTCGTATACAGCGATGAAGTGAACTTGAACGCGGACAATGTCATGCAAGTGCTGTATTTGGCCAAGAAATACATGCTTCCTTCCCTCGCTGACAAGTGCTCAGNGCTGGAGTTGTTTCGCTTCGTATACAGCGATGAAGTGAACTTGAACGCGGACAATGTCATGCAAGTGCTGTATTTGGCCAAGAAATACATGCTTCCTTCCCTCGCTGACAAGTGCTCAGAATTCCTTGGAGAAAACTTGGATGCCTCAAACGTATTCCATGTCTTGCCAGAGGCACAGAAGTACGAGGAGAAAGATCTTGTGGATCATTGCTGGGAAGTGATCGATAGGGAGACAGAAGAAGCTGTGAAATCGGATGGTTTCATGACAATTGAAGAAACAGTGCTTGAAGAATTGGTAGAGAGAGATTCGTTGAGTGTGAGGGAGGTGGAATTATTCAAAGTTGTCGATTGCTGGGCTTCAAAGGAATGTAAAAAGCAAGGCCTAGCAGCAGAAGGTTCTGTGAAGAGAAAGATCCTCGGAGAACGGATCGTAAAGGCAATTCGTTTCCCTGTGATGAAAGAAAAGGAATTTGCTGATGTTGTACTTGACAAAGAAATCCTTACCCCTAGAGAGTCATTCGATATGGTGAAGTATTTTAATTCTCTGCTGAAGGTCCCAGAGGGGTTCACTGAATCCCCAAGAGCTGGTTGTCGTCTAACATCCCGAAGAACGGCTGGGGCGAAGAATATTAATCCTCTGGTGATGCAGAGGCTTGGATCAGGAAAAATATCCAAAAAGCGGGAAAAGACACAACCTTGGGTATCAGGGTGCATTTGTGGAGCTTTAGGAGTAGGAAGAGATGTGTTTGGAAATTCATTTTGCACTACTTGTGGCTCAAGGATCGGTTAGTGTGGCGCCAACATCGCTGAGAGTAAGAGAAAGTAAGAGGAACATTTTTTTTTTTCGTCTTCTTCGTCGTGACTAAACTTTCACTGCAGTTAGTTACGAAGCACTGGCAAAACCCTGTTAATCTGTTAATTTATAAAGAAGCAAATTTTAAAAAGCAAATGGTAACTTCAATTTTGAAATAAAAAAGGGGGGTGCCCGTGCTCATGAAGGAGCAATGAGTCGTTGAAAATGCCCCATTTTGGCATTATTTAATGCTTATTATAAGAACGCATTCCCAGTAATTGTAAAATCTTCAGTCTTTTCTCACGCAAAGCTTATGATTAGTTGATTACAATGACCGGAAAAAAAATTGGGGTGCCCGTGGTCGTTGGTGAGCTAGAGCCATTTTTCAACTAATTATTTCTGCGCCTCCTTACTGCGCGCGCAAATAAATTCACATGCCACGTCATGCATCGAGCGCGCGCTAAGTAATAAAATGAACAATGATGGGGCAGATGGCTTAAAAAATGATGAAGATCTATCGATTCGAAGCTTGATTTTTTTGCGAAACGCACCATCGAATTCCGTTCTTTTAGCTCATCGTTTATCTGTGCGACGGTTTCAAATGCCTCTTGAAGGGTTAAGTTTTGTGAAAACGTTGGCAACATTTGCCTCCGTTGACTCGCCTTCGATATTTTTAACTATAAACCCTGTAGACCATGCTGAATTACGTGCGCCAATTTTTCAAAATCAGGGTCGTTTCCCACACGTTTTATCTCAGAAACGAAGTCGGTGACCTCCAATTTTGTTTGCATTTCTAACACAAGTAACTCATTATTTGACTGCAGTAAAAATATTTGCGCGCGAACTTCCTTAATTTTACATGTTTGATTATTTCCCGAACAATGACTTCTGTATAAACTATATTTTATCTGACATTTATCACTTGATAGTACCATTTGAATTTTAACTTTCACGACTTGAAACAAGAGTTGGGATAAGCTCGAAATTTACAACAATATCAGTCTTAATTTCGACAGAATTTAAGTATTTTGGTGTTCCGTTCGTGGTGGATATATGTAGTTGATGAAGACTTACGAAGAATTGCTGGAATTTTTACCGAAAGCTGACTAATAATTGCCAAAAAAATTAAATGATAGCTGAGATTCCAGCACCCCTATCCAGTCCGTCTTCTAGTAGACTGAAAACTCTATAATGGAGATCACGTTTTCTGTTTCACAAAGGGTGCTTTTTTACTTTTGCTGCCTTTTGGTTAATTTCATGGCAAACACCGAAGACAATTTCATGATTAGATTCATTTCTGAACCGCTGAGCAGTCGCACTTTAATGTTTCATTTATCATCTTTCTTTCCTTGTCGTTATTTTGGTACTGTTCTCAGTTCCTAAGCTCTTTTTTCGCAGTTTAGTAGTCTTTTTCCAGTCTTTCTTTCTAATTATACTAGCTAAATACATAAGAAGTAGATAAGGCAAAAAGCCAACTGGCATGTTTTTATTGCCTGGATTGTATTTTATCATAATTTTATTGTATTTTATTGTAATTTTAATTACTTAAAAGTAGTGTGGCATGTGGTGTTAACTTTAGTAATTCTTTATGTGTATGGATTAGTTTTTTGTGTGTTCAGAATAAAAACTGAAAAACTAGCTAAACTTCTCTGCTTCGTTAATAAATGTATTACTTAGTGGCCCATGTAAACTAGTGTGCAAGTTATATTAGTTTACATTGGAAGAGGTGAAGTTAACAACACCACACAAAAAAACGCTTCTATGAAAAAAGTATAATGGATGGGAGAAATAATAAAAGAAAACAAAGTAAAGTAGTTTTATGATCATGAGATCCAAGCTTCAAACAGTTACAGAACGGCACGAACATGACGAAAAGACACCGCTCTTTGTTCCTATAAAGTCTTTACACATCCAATATTTATGGCCTGAAAAGAGCCATAATGTTGTACTGTTCCAGAGTTTAACAGTACGTTTATCAAGTTCATAGCGTTAAAGAATCTCAGCTAAACGACAATGCACATACGCTAGCCTTTGTTTGGCTGTTTTGAAAGCCTGTTTTATAGCCCAGAACTGTTCATCTTTGTACACAGCGCGTGTGACATTTTTCCCATCGAACGGGTCTTCGATGCGAATTTTAGGGCGGGTCCACTTTTTATCATAGGGCACAGTTTTGGTGCCGGCCAGACGAACCGATAACACTTTATACCAATCAAAGTCGGTGTAAAAATTAAAAAAACCGACAAAAAGGCTTCCAAGGGAATCCGTATTAGATGACGTATATGAAGTAACGACTGATGGAAGGGAACCGCTGGTCAGCTTATCTGCGGTAGCGCTGGCACTGGTCGATGTGCTGAAGTGGGTTGGGCTGGAACTTTGTAAAGATGGAAGGACAGGTGGACTGCAACCTCTCTGTAAGTAATAAATAACCAACAGTACGATGGCGAAACCTAAATCAAGAGAAAGAAATATTAAGCAATGTTCTCAGAGCTTTAGCAAAGGCTCATCAAGTTTCAACAAAGGGAATCATTACCGTGATAGTTTTTGGATCAGTCTGATCGTATAAGTAAAAACTTTAGTATTTTATTTCTCCTTTTTCTGTGTAGTTAAATGTTTTAATCTTGATTGACAAGATATATCACAGTCATCAAACCGACTTGAGAAAGTATTTTTCTACATTTCCAAACGCCTCGAAGTTCGCCAAAAATATTTCGTTGTATGGATTATTTTAGCTCTCTTCTCGACTTTTGAAGTGTAATTATACTTGTTAGGATTAGCTATTTAGGGTCCTGTGTTAGGGTCTCTCGTGTTTGATATATGACTATCACAACCTTGAGCATGTGTGACCTAATATATCACTCCTTTTATAGCTTCAGTGCATTCCATAGTAATTTGTTACCAAAATAACCGTTATTTTTAAGGTTTCCATCAGAGAAAATATATCTTTTGGGTTTTGGCTTTCGGAAGTCACGTTTTTGTGATAGTTCCCCCTTGTGAAAGTCAGTGTCGAAACCTGGCTAGCTAATTACAAAGTATGGCTCCAAAGACTATTTAATGTAAATAAAGAGCTACATCTATACGTCACTGACCCGATAGCTTGTGGTCATGCGCACCAGTGATTCCCGACATTTTGGCCCAGTACTTCACGATCACTACCAGGGGAGTGACCCTGGGGTCCATTTCACCATAACACTTCTGCAAGTACGTGTTGAATATAGAATTCTGGATGTCAACACTGATATCTCCCTCTAGTCTTTCACTCCGGTCATTGAGTTTCAATATAGGAACAACTGCACCATCGATCAGCTGAAATGACAAATACAACAGAACGCTTTCCTTATCAAGCTGCTCGTTATCAGGGTATCCATAGCGTCGAAATACACGATAGCAGTATAGTCCGTGTTGAACAAAACCTTAACCTGTGCCCCCACTGTACCCGTTTACTGCGCTAGATGTACTTGGCACGCAAATAAAGTTACTGACTTGCCGGCACGCAACGCTTTGCGCTTCGTCACGCAACACTGAATTAATATTGCGAATGCGGAAGTAAAAAAAGAGTAGTACGATACGCTGAACTCACAGATTAAAAAGCTGAAATAAGGCATTTTCACAGTCCACGGCACAGTCAGGTACATTTGGCGACTCTTTAGCTTTTCTTTGTATGCTTGTAAAGCGCAAGTAATGGGAAGGAGGTTAACAACAAAAGAAATTGACTGCTAGGATAATGATCTCGGTATTAAATAGTCGCGCCACTCCTTTTTATATCACTGATTATGTTAAATTGTTTCGTGTTAGTGTGCGGATTGAGCCTGCTGCCTACGACAAAGTGGAACTTTTCACAGTCACACTCTCTGCTTCCACGGCCTGTTTTCCTTCCTAGTCAAGCGTAAATTTTATTCATAATTTATCGCAACTGTCACCAATCCGACAAATGTGTCATTTGTACTAATGTAATGGACGATTCCAAAATGGCGTGATTGGAATGAGTAGATTGTACATACGTTCTTGGATAGTCGACAAACGAAAGCATTCGCAGCAAAACATTTGAAATAATTTTCTTTCATCACGGTATCTGAAATGTGTCTCAACATGACACTTCCATTGTGGTCAATTTATGACTGACCACAATTCTCCAACTGCAGCATATTTCCAAACTCGGCTCAACCAGTGTTTCATACATGGCCAAGGTATAAACATAGTTACTCAGGAAATCGAAGTTTACAATGAATGAGATAAACGGTGTTAATTGCTTAGTTATACATTACAACAGTTACCTCTGATTATAAACATGCGGCCATTTAATCTTATAGTCAGTTAAGCGCAAATGGTTGAAATTACCTCTGTGTCAATAAACAATCTTCTCCTCAGTGCATCCCGAATTCGCCTGAGAACTTGAACCCCACTGTCCATAAATCCATAATGCGTCATTCTTTCTGTTCTTATAAGCGTCATGTCCACATCAGATCCTTCGATGGCAAAGCCGTTTGTTGACGAACCCACCAGAACGAGTTGTCGAGTCGGGAACATTTCCTGTATGTTTTCCTCTAAGCTTTCGCACCATCTCCTCTTCTTTCTCGCTGTCGCCTCACTTTCCTTTACAGATTCAAACTTTTGCACGATTTCTCGGGTTAGAGATTCGCGTGAACGCAGAAACATGTTATTTGAAATGTTTGACAATCGAGTGTGAATCAGTTTCCCAGAAAACCAGACGGCTCAGCGAGACAAAGAGCAAATATTACTGTACCAAGGGAGGGGAGGCTAAGGCATAAATTGTAAAGTGCACTCGCTCGAAGGTAGTGTGGCACACCTGGGAATATGGGGCGCCGTTTGTAAATTTATTATTTAGACCGAATTTATGCCATTTCCCCCTTATTTATAAATAATTGGAAACGCCACAAAATTTGTTTATAAGTAAGACACAAGAACTTGTCCGTTGATATGTAAATAATTATTTTAGGTACGTCCTGATTTGTAAATAATCTTTTACCATAGAGTTATTATATATAAATAACAAACTAAACAACCTCAATTATTTATAAATCAGGTCATCTCTAAAATAGTTATTTACATATCATAAAGTTTGTAAATCCCATTATTTATAA